CCAACTTTAACTGTCTCTCCTTACAGCACTTGGTAAAATCCAGCCCTAAACCTTTACAGAACCCCCAAACGACCACTGATATAATTTTCACTTGGCCTCTTTCTAAATTTTTGACATCAGTTTGAAGTAAAAACTTACTAATATCTTGTTATTGTTTTACTTAAACCTATATGATTTTACCATAGTTTGAAAAAAGAATTTCCTTGATTTAAATAAGTAACATTTTGTAACAGTAATACAGCCTAACAAAGATGGCAGTCCTCATATAATACGTTTGTTTTGGTATGAAAAAAATAATTATATTAAAGGTGAGTTCCCCCTTAACACCAAGAGCAGACACATATACGACACTTTTTTAATTTATTTAATGATAACGCCACCTGTATGGCGGTGCTGGTAACGGCTCCTGCTAATAAAGAAAGGCATCGTTAGCCTGATTGAGCTCACCTGTAGCTGAGCACTGACTGCTGCCACACCTCCACACATCATTACTTACTTTCTGTCAGTTCTGTTTCAGTCTTGGGTCAGCTAATATACAGCAGATAGGTTATTTAAACGTATGAAAATGGAATAGTGTAGTAAAAATACTGTAAAAACGATGGCAAACCGTCAAAATGTGGTGTTAGGTGGTGTAGCGGTTAGCACGCCTAGCATACATCCTCCCGTGTAAGTCATTTCGGATACAAGATAAATGTAAATATCTAGTACATGTCTAAACTTTTACCTGTGTCTTCTCTTACTTGACTCAGAAAAATCTGCTGAATAATAATGACAACGTTCCCAACATTTGCAGACAGGCAAAATCCTTTCGAACAAAAGCTTCTTTTTTTTATCGGTGGGGATTTACCTTGTTGCCAGTACAGCTTTCTTCCTAAGAAACCTTAACCCCCCCAAGCAGCAGGGCACAGAAAGTTCACAATCTTACCACACAACAATGTGATTACAGAAAGCTCTTTTCCCTCTGTGTCAAAATCAAACCGAGACATTGACCAATATTTAATCCCGCTAATCACGGCGGCCACTCCCAATTTTGACATAAAATAAGATGCTCTGCATTCGCTCCGAGCTTTCTGGCCCACGGACTCCGGAGCTGTGGTTCGTCCAGTCGTCATGATCTTCTACCAGCTGCTCGGCTTTTTCTTCGCAGCATCCAAACACAGAGAGAAGAAGGAGTCCAAGTATGACCTGTCCCTCTACAGACGGGGGGATCTTTTAGAAGTACCCAGGACTTTGTTCACGCATTTCGGTATTTACCTGGGCGATAACCGCGTGGCTCATCTCATACCGGACATCCTGCCTGTGTTAACGAGGAACGAGAAGTTTGTTGCCGAAATGGTAACGAATAATCGCCTCCTGCTGGGGGTCATTGCTAAGGTAGCCAGCGTCAGAGTGGACTCCGTGGCGGATTTTGCCTACGGGGCAGAGATCGTGGTCAACCACATGGACAGGGTGTGCAGCCAGTCTCCACTGGAGGAGGAGGAGGTGGCCCGGAGAGCCGAGAAGCTCTTGGGCTCCGTCAACTACAGTTTACTGTGGTACAACTGTGAACACTACGTCATGTACTGCAGATATGGCATGGCTATCAGCTACCAGACGTACCAGGTAAGAGTATCTACTTTAACTATCGATTAAGACGTCGATAACATACTGTTCTGACGGGTAACTGGCACCAAATTGATAGTTTTGGTTTTTCTAACGCGTATTAAACTTTAAGTTTAAGTTTAAGTTTATGGTCCGATATTGTCTGTCATCTCTCGCGCGTGCGGGGTTCGGAGAAATCACGTTCGGTTACGTTCACCTGTGACCTGCCTTTGACCTCAGTGACGTCATTTGAACACTTTCCTACCCGTATCGACAAAGTTGAATTCGTGTCCGCAGTGAGGACCTCGTCATTTTCCCCCAGCAGATGGCGCCCTTGGTGACGTTATTTGTGCTCTGCACACCGACCCTGTCTGTTCCAAAAGGTCTGTCATTTGTTTCATGTGAGGAGACTGTGAAATAATCAGGTGTTTTATCTGTGTGTCAGTTCTGCACGGCCGTGAGGAAGATCGTCTGCAGCAGGATGAGCTCCTACATGACTGCTGTCTGTGGTGTGGGGACCATGCTGTGTCTGGACTGTGTGACCCCACTGACACTGTTACTGACCCTGCTAATCTCATTCACCATCTGGATGGCAGCCTAAACAGCTGTTGTGGCTCCAGAACAGTGTTGGACCGTGACATGGTTCGGTCAAAGCACTTTTTTTTTTTTTTTTGTATCTGATTTTTTTTTTTTTTTTTTTT